TAGCAAAAAGTTAGCCTACAAGGTACTAAAAGGATTGTCAAAGCAACTTCCAAACAGAGAGCTCCATATCAATGCTTCCAACACTAAATGGCTGCATGATTCTGCTGCAAAACTCAGAGAGTTGACTCTTCTCGCTCACAGGTTAGCATAATAGCATGGCTAGCTAGCTAATTGAAAGGGCTCCAAAAATGACGTACCTCTGAGGCATTGCCACTGTCTGTTTGCATGCGTAGTTCAGTGCTGTCCATTGCCATCAATTAGAAAATGTTGCACCTACAGTATTCCCTGTCTTGAAAAGCTGCACTCACTGCAGCAGTAGTGTTTTCGACTGGCAGAGGAAGCTATTGGGTTGCAGACGGCTCAGGAAAGGGGAGCTCTTATGAGCAGATGCATGCATCGGGTATTCTAACCGCTAAGTTTTCTGAAACATACATATAGTATACACAGATCAGGCATAACATTATGACCACCTCCTTGTTCCTACGCTCACTGTCCATTTTATCAGCTCACTTACTATGTAGGTGCACTTTAGTACTTCTACAATTACAGACTGTAGTCCATCTGTTTCTCTGCATACTTTGTTCGCCCCCTTTTACCCTGTTCTTCAGTGGTCAGGACCCCCATGGACCCTCACAAAGCAGGTTCTATTTGGGTGGTGGATCATTCTCAGCACTGCAGTAACACTGATGTGGTACTGATGCAGTGCTGCTGGAGTTTTTAAACACTGTTTCCACTATATAGTAAGTGGAGCTAATAAAATGGACAATGAGCGTAGAAACAAGGAGGTGGTCATAATGTTATGCCTGATCGGTGTATGCATTTTGTGGTGCTTGCTATATACCTTTGTAAGAGATGTTAAAGTCTAACTACACATGCAAAATTTAATCCTCATCCAAGATTTCTTTTGAAATCAAGGGTATTAATAGGGAGTTTGTCCCTGCCTTTGTGGTAGCGATAGCCTCTTCTGGAAAGGCTTTTCACTAGATGTTGGAACATTGCTGTGAGAATTTGCCTGAATTGAACCACAGGATCAGTAGTGAGGTCTAATGTTGGATGAATAGTTCTAGATCACAAGTGCCACTCCCACCCATCCCAAAGATATTGGATAGAGTTCCATCACTCCAGAGAAAACTTCCACTGCTCCACAACCCAATGCTGGCCTCTAGCTGAGGCTATTAGCTTTAGGTATGGTGATTTTAGGCTCATGTGGGGCTGCACCAGAGAGTCCCATTCTACTGACAGTGCTTTTCTGTGGAGATTATGCAAGGTGTGTGTGCAAGTAATCACTTGTATCAGCAAAGGGTGCACCTTAAAGCAGTAATAAGAAATGGTGTACGGATCACTTTTGGAGCTCACTCGAGGTGGTTCCTAACATACACATATAGCCTGATTTTGTTATGGTGATGTCATATCACTGTTTATGCTAGGTAGTCAGAAGGTCTATAAAGACAAAGAAAATACCTGAAACTTCATTAAGCAGTTGAAAATTGTAAAAGTATTTTTTTCTGTGTTCTTTAATAGCATTAGTGTCTTACAGACTCTTTAGACTTTTACAGTGGATGTCGGCCAACAAGTTCATGGATTAAAAACTCTTTGACCAACCCCTGCTGGAAAGCTGTTACAAATCCCAGACGGAAGGATTTTAGACTGATCTGCATAATAGTCCTGTTTAATAATCAGAGCCACTATGAGTTTGCATTTTGACAGACTAATTGCCCTGGATTGTTAACCTGATTTGTGCAATTGGATGCAATGAGTCCATTATGTACATAATAGTAGTACTTAAAGTCTGAGATCTGCAGATCTGCAACAGGTTGTTGGCCAGAAGATGTAAAATTGTAGGAATTTGTAATTTCCAAGTCCAAAAACAGGCATAAACAGGAATTCCAAGCTAATCTAAACTGGTTTATGCTTGTCTGGTGCTGGTTTAGCTGGACATCCTGTATGACCATGTTTATTGACCAGCATACCAGCGTCCAAAACACATCATATGCTGGATTTGCTGGTGACCAGCTATGAAGGTCTTGCAAGGACCTTGCATCATACTATTAGGTTTAGCTTCCAAATAAATTGTGATAATACTGGACAAATTGTGAAACTGAGTGAAAGTGCTTTGGATTTGCCCTATTGGCTTGGCATGAGAGAAGCTATTGGGTTCCCTATTGGCTTGGCATGAGAGAGAGAGAGAGAGAGAGAGAGAGAGAGAGAGAGAGAGAGAGAGAGATGCCAATGCCCTTGATCAAGTTTCACTTAAAAAAATGTGACTTTTGTCCATCTACTTTGTCCGTCTACTGTCGTCATGAGATGGCTTTCGCAGCATGAGAATACAGCACTGCTGTGTCTGATCTACTTGTACCAGCACAACACACACTAACACACCACCACCACGTCAGTGTTACTGCAGTGCTGAGAATGATCCACCACTCAAAAAATACCTGCTCTGTGGTGGTCCTGCGGGGGTCCTGACCATTAAAGAACAGGGTAAAAGGGGGCTTACAAAGTATGCAGAGAAACAGATGTACTACAGTCTGTAATTGTAGAACTACAGAGTGCTCCTATATGGTAAGTGGAGCTGATAAAATGGACAATGAGCGTAGAAACAAGGAGGTGGTTTTAATGTTATGGCTGATCAGTGTATATAAAAGTAAACAAAGGTAAACACAAAAGTTACACAAGCATGTAAAAAACACAATAGTTACGGCTGCTGGGCTAAATAGGAGCAAAAAAAGGAAAACATAAATGTCTGCAATTTGTCCATCTTTTTGTTTGGTTAAAAGAGCCCTACTGAAAAAACCCATAGACCCACAGAAACCATTAAGTGTTTCTGTTGGTTCCTGATAGTTTTATAATGTATTTAGGCTTTGAAATGGGTTGACATCACAGTGTAAAGGATCCTAATTCCTGATTCTAAATGCATTTGTTTGTTTCCTAGTGGGATCTGAAGGTGTTCTCCACCTTTTTTTAATTCCCAATAAAAAGCAAAACTATTCAGTTTTAATCCTAATGGTTTCTTGTGATCCTTTTTCAGCAGGAATGATCTGCACCTGTACAAGATATAGTCTGTTTAAACTTTGATTCTATGATCAGAAACACTGCAGTTAAAAGGACAGAAATAAATTCAGAAAAGTCGCAGTCCTTTGGGTCTATAGTGCGTTTTCTTCGTGATCATTCCCTCTTGGATCTCACCATTAAGACACGCGGTGATGGGGGCGTGGAGGAATCTGTGGAATGTACCATTTCCTTTTGCGAGTGGGCTGGGACGAAAACGAGTCCTTGTTTTGAACCGGTTCTTTTCAGTAAGTCGGTCAAGCCCCACCTGAATTTGGATCTGGATTTTTGTAGAATCTACTTAATGTTTCTTGTCATCGACTAAAGACGTCTAATTGATGCTCGTAAAACACCGCATTGTAGCACACCAAGAACAACTTCTTTGAATTCTTAGGGTAAACCGTAGATGTGTTTATGCTTCGTATGTTGCCAGTTTGGCTCCATTATTAAGTAGACGTAGAAAACATCGAAACTCATTCACTGACCTGAAACGTCATTGTACATGAAGGAGGACGGAAATAAAGGTGACTTGACTTACGAGTCGATAGATCATTAAATCGGACGTTCGATTCATTGAATCGGACAGTTCTGAAGAGTCGGTTCAATCAACTGAATCAATTCCCATCACCACTGCGCTACATCCACAGGTTCCATCGCTCATCTCCCGCCTCACCTCTGTTGTCAAACAGTGGTGAGGCTCGAGCGAAGCGTGCACTCCCATTGGCTGCTGTCGCCCGTCGTTGCCATGGGCGTGGAGGCGATGTCGCCTACTAAACGGGGGTTAGAGGAGAAGTCGGCTTTTTTGACGAACGCAGTAGCGTTAAATTTGGAAGGAAAACCGAGACACAAAAGAAGCATGGTGGTGTTTTGTTAATTGTCGAGTGCAGCTTTTGAAGGGAAAAAGTGCCGAAAATGCACGTTTAACCGCGGCTTCGACGCAGAGGATATCTTAATTCAAATATATCACGCGAAAAGCGTCCACAGGCAGAGCAAGCCGTCGTTTATTATTATTTTTTGAAGACGTTCACAAAAACGAGACGACTCCTTCACCTTTCCTCCTCAGTTTAAACAGGACCTGGAAATGAACTGCTTTGGCGAGGAAAAGAGCTAATGCGACACTTCTGCTCACAGCCGCGGCTAAGCTTTCAGAGGGTCGTTCACTTTGGCTGTAGCTAACGTGAGCTAGCTACCCGTAGCAAGCTAGCTATTTACATTACTGCAAAAGTGCGAGCAGCTCGAGTCAAAGAAGTGGACGGAGTAGAGCAGACAGCCTTTCTGCTGCTCAGCTGAACCTCATTAAGATGACTGCTTGAGCGTGTGGATTCCCGCCGGTTGTAAACTGGACGTCACCAGTAAGTTAACGAAGCGAGCTGTCGTGTTATTTTATCGAGTGTGTGTAAACTCTGTGCACCTGCCTAAAGAGAAACCTCAGCTCGCCTGTAAGTGCGGCAGGCTTTCGAGGTATCCTGCCGTTAATGTGTTCCCTAGCTGTATGCTAGGAAAACAGCTGCGTAACAACTGGTTTCAGCCGAAATTACATTATTTTGCAATTTCGTAGTTGATATTTAGGCTGTAGGCTATAATTCATGTTCCGCAGTCCAAGCTGTGGACGATAAAACCAGCTGCATACTTGTCTGCTCTGCCTTATTTGTGCAATATTTTTCTAGTTTGGCTGGAGTTCACCTGCCATAATTCATACCCTGCAGCCTGAAGCTGTCCTGTAATTGGTTTACTGTTCTATTGTTAAAATGTAGGTCATTTAGGATAAATGCTTTTCCTTTACAGCTCGAAGAGGGACGTGGGAGTGTGAAACCGAGCCCGCGTTGCCCCATGTTGACGACCTGCGTCTGCTGCAGCTCCACCGCGGCGAGCTCGGCCACGGCGCCGCCGCCTCCCCCACTGCACTGGAAGAAGCGGAACGAGCGTTTTTAAAGCGGCGCGGAGAGACCGGCATGGAGATCGGCGACGGGCTCGGAACCACTGCCGCTCCCGCGGCATCCAAGTGTCCCTCCGTGCCCGGTTCGCGGCGCGATCTGATTCTTAACGCGTGCGCTCCCGAGGTGGCGGACGGCGATGGCGGCTCGGGCTCGGCTAGCGAAGGCGCGGTGGTGCGCGGAGGCAGCGACCCGAGCGCTTCGAGCTACCGGCTGGGAGGAGGAGCACGGCACCAGCGCTTCATCCGCAGGAGCCTGTGGTTCGCCGACAGCGACGAGCAGACGTCCGAGCCGACCGAGGCCGAGTGCGTGAACGTGAGCGCGAGCGTAAGCCTGCGGAACTTGGTTGTGGACCGGAGCCGCAGGGCCATGCGCTCGAGCCTAAGGGAAGGCTCGAGCACCGAGAGTCAGGGACAAGGCGGGCAGAAGGACAGTGCTACGGAGAGCACGAGCGCGGACGAGGAGAGAGGGAGAGGAGCCGCCGCTGCCGCCGCCGCCGCCGCCACCACAGCCGAAGTAAACGGCGACTCGCCTGATGGGAGAGCGAGCGCGACGAAAAGCGCGAGCGAAGAGAACGAGGAGGAGGCCGAGATGAAGGCCGTGGCCACCTCACCCGGTGGCCGCTTTCTCAAGTTCGACATCGAGCTCGGGAGGGGCTCCTTCAAGACCGTCTACAAGGGCCTGGACACCGAGACGTGGGTGGAGGTGGCGTGGTGCGAGCTTCAGGTATGTAGAACAAAGTTAACTTGCTGCTTGGCTGTGGGTGGGCGTTTGAATGAATGCAGCTGCGTTAACATATGCGGTGTTTATTGCATATTACAGTGAGTCATTGCTTGAAATGCGTAGCCCCTTGTTAAGCTTATCACCCGCACAGTCTACGTACCTGAATAAAACAGGGCTACTGGATGAAGACAAATGGTGCAGGCTTTGGAAGCACTCTGATCATGCTGACTGGGGATTTCTAATAGGGGAATTGTTACTCAGTGTCAGTAAGGGCTCGAATTTGACAGTTGTTTAAAATGCATCATCAATAGCTCGTTGTCAAAAGATGTTGGTAATATGTCAGTAACTGCTCAGTTTAAAAGCAAACCTACAGCCTTAACATTTTAGGATAGCATTTTTAAATCCAGTGTACTTTAAATAACCATTTTGTATATAGTGGATTTGAAAAATGCAGCTAAACTCACACTGACGTCATTAAATCAACATTTCTTTATATTCATTTGCACTTATTTATGTTCAGCACACATGCTTGTCATATGGCAGGGGCTTTTTTACACAAAGGTTTTAAAACAAAAGTCCCTGAGGAAGGTGCAGGCTCTTGGGTATATGCTTATTGTCTCAGAGTAAAGTATACATTTTGCATGAAGGAATTTAATGCAGTACCAGCACTGCAGATGGGCATAACTGTACTTGGTCAAGTGAAAGGTTAATATCAGTTCCAAAATTGATTCAAGGTTCTGAATGAATATATTTCTATTGCTGTGGTTAAGGCCTCCTTGGATGGTTTGATTGATTTTTGCTCACCCTGCCCAGATTATGTGAAGTAAATGAAACCCACCATTTAGCCTGTGTCATAGGGGAACAGAACATGATTGCTGTTGTTAGTCAGAGAGTTGATAAACATTCATTATGATTTCATATTGATGGTTAAGTAGTTCCCAGTAAGCTGACTGTAATAATTTAACAGGCTTGAACTGTTTGTCAATGGAAGAAGTTAAAGAGGCCTGTAAATTGAAGGGGTAAAAGATTAGTTAATGAATTATAGATTTTGTGTCACCATAGTTTGCATAGTTTTGAGCATATTACAAGCTTACTGTACTCTAATCTTGATGAAGCAAAACTAAACGCATATATTAAATGCACAGTATTACCAAATGACTGACTATGCTCAGGGTTAGACTTACAATAATACTGTAGGCTGTAAAGATCAACTCAGTGGTGTTTACCAGTACAAAGATATCATTGTTTTGTGTCACATGCCTAAGTAGAACAGTGAGTGAGTAGTTGAGGATAACAAAGTTCCTCATACCTGGAACGTTTTGTTACAGTTCAGTAGGTAAATTACCCTCCTCACTTTAGGTTGGGATCAGTTACATAGCTTTAATAATAAATTAAGTAAATAAATTAAACATGTTAATGTTAATGAATTGTATTACTGCCAAACCCGAGCACTGGTGAGAGTCCATGTGCTTCTGCAGTTAATCACAATAAACTCCTCCCTCTCTCTCTCTCTCTCTCTCTCACACACTCTCACACACACACACACACACACACACACACACACACACTCGCACTCACTCATCCTTACGCTCCCTGTTTCTGTGGCTTACAGTTGGCAAACCTTAAAGGGAAGCATCCGATAGGTGAATTGCATGCTGGGATCTCAGTGTGTTCACTGACACTCAGTGGAGGGTGCTTAGAGTGTATTTAAGGTTACTGCCCACAGTGACAGCAGTGTGTGGGGGTTTTGGATTCTTTGTTGAGCTTTGTGGCTTGATTTTTAAAGAACTTCTGTTGGTAGAAGAAAGGCAAAGCAGGTTTGATTTGTAATGCAGTAGGTAGTATAGGGGCAGTGTTAGGTGTTTAGACTTGCAGCTGGGTGTCGGCAGGTAGATTTATAGGAATTCTCTAGTGTTCTTCAACCTAAACTTGATCTGCTGCATTGTAGCATAAAATTGATTGCCATGGACCGTGATGTGTCCCTGTACTCAGTAAAAGGACAGAAAAACAATTAATTTCAAACACACTTATAATAGAAGCCAACAGACAAGTATCCGTCAAAAATCTATAGCCAGCGTAAGTCTGTCTGTTAATAATTATGAACTTTCAGTTTTGGCACAACGTTCCACCATTTCTTAGTCTAATCATTCAGGCTAATTTACTGCCGCTGATGTTCTCGCTGTGGGTTTGTTTTCAGCAGTTCTGTGGGAGTTTTTCCCTACCTTGACGAAGGAAGGAACGCTAAGAGACTATTGTAATTGACTGAGAGGCATGTCAGTAACTTTGCATGGTCAATTGTCAGTACTGCAGTGACACTGACATGGCAGTTGCATATTTCGTGTGGCAGCAGATGAGCTGCTGTCTCTGACTTTACATCTACAAGGTGGTCCAACAAGGAAGGTGTGTCTAGAGTGGACAGTAGGTGGACACAGTGTTTAAAAGGTCCAGCAACACTGCTGTGTCTTATCTGTTTGTACCAGTGCAGCGCATACTACCATGGTGCCACCATGGTGCCACCTTGGTACACCACCCAGATATTTGGTCAGCTGTGTTCTGGTGGGGTTCCTTACCACTGATGAACATGGTAAAGAAAGGCCAGCAAATTATGCATAGAAGCAGGAGGACTACATTCTATAATTGTAGAACTACAAAGTGCACCTATATGGTAAGTGGAGCTGATCAAATTGACAATGAATTTAGGTGCAATTTCAATTTATTATACACTAATAAATTGAGTGTGTATATTTGATACGCTTTCAAATGTTGCACAAGGAAGTGGGTCCATTCTGGGGTGTTATATATCGATCATCAGAATTCCAAGGTAAGAGTTGTCACACAGTTGCTTATATTTTAAGGACAGAGGCCAACATCTTTTCTGTGGAAATTCTTGCAAAAATTTCCACAGAAAAGTTTAAATCTTTCTGATAAGACAATCTGGAAGTTTCTTCAGCACACACAGTCTGTTGGGGGGGTGTGCTATTATATGTATTGTCCTGTTGCTCTACTGGTAGTATGGAAAGGTACAAATAGGATCATTTTATTCGTCTTTGAGAATTTATCTGTCTGTCTGTAACAAAATCTCATTAGTAAATTTGCCTGGCCGGAGCCTAATCGCAAAGTATAACACATTTACATGTGGATATAATAGTCAGTGTGTCAGGTTTGTAATATAATGTAAATGATTGACAGACAAGTAAACAACTGTTCGTCCACTACTGTTGGTTTAAAATGGGGGTCATTTATTTAACTTCATCTTTATGTCTTTGTAATCAGTTCCTATTTTATAGATGGGTTTATCTTTCAAGTTGAGCAGTGTTTTTGAACTGTATGCATGAGGGCACAATAAGCTGTTGGTTTTTGTTATTATTTAAGTACAGCAGAATCAATTCTCATACATGTTGACTACGTGGTTAGTGTTTCTCCAATGTAGGTCAACAAAAAAAATATAGGGTGCAGCTAGTGCTGGGCGATTAAACGATAACGATAATTATCGCAATATAACTTTTCCTCAATAGAGCGATACGACATGTTCGATATAATACACCATTCTCACACTTCCACGTTCAGCGAAAGCCTTGGTGACGTTTTCTACTGCAAGGAAAGCGACACTACTCTGCTGTCACCAGGAGAGGGCGCACTTCTGAGTTTTTCTGCATGATTAGAGAGGGAGGAGGCCACGAGTAAAAAAAGGGTCGCCAAATATACTTTAGCAACGGCTGAAACGTGGTGTTATACATTCCCTGTTTGAGTGGAGCGACCGGCGATCTGTTCTCCTGTGACTGAGTGTGAGTGATGAGGTCAGTGGTGTAACTATACTCTCCTACAGCGAACTCACCTCTTCCCTAACATCCTAACAAGCTTTAGCAGCGTTAAATCACAATCACAATCCTCACAACTAAAGCGCTGTTACAGCGCTCAGACAGTCATATTTAAGTAGTAGTGCATTCCCGAGCAACGAACGTGAAAGAAAGAAGTGGGTTCCTGTAAATTACAGCCCTGATTTAAACGAAAGTAAACTGAGGAAGCTGTGAGGCATTGAAGAGCGGGAGAGCGCTTTCTTTCCAGGCTAGCTGTTTTTAGCAGCTGGCTAACTTGAAGCAGCGCTCCGTCACTCACACAGCACGGCGAATTGATGATACTGTAGATCAAACACGACACAAAAGCACCGCTTTAAGTTTAAACGTACCTAAAAAGAGGACTCTGTCTGTCTGGTGTTAGATATTTTGCGGTTCACCACTTAAACTACTACGATAGTATAGAGAAATCCAGTCGTCGCTAGCTGGTGTCTGAATACTGTGATATCATTTGTAACGGGGTAGCCGAGCGCTCGTCACCAGCTACAAATAATCTGTTTTCTTTCGGAAATTATGACTATTACAAAATAGCCATGCTTTTCCAGCTGGTAAAAACAGCTCACCAGACACTTTCTCCCACTCTCCCATGACAGATTTGTGAAATGTTCCACTGTTTGGTGAGTGTTTGTCATGTTCCGACCATAAAGGATAATTTAAAACAGTAATTAATCACCCAGGAGCAAAAATCAGCCTTCAGTCTTGAAAGAAATAATGATTTGACATTTATCGCTGTACGTATCGATATCGAACGATATGAATTTTGTTTATCATGACAACATTTTTGGCCATATCGCCCAGCTCTAGGTGCAGCTAAACAATAGTAGTGTTTGAAGAAGATGATGGTAAAACTACGGTGATCCATGATGTTGAAAGCAAACATCTGCAAGTGATATGCGGACAACTACTTTATCTTTTTGTTTTATGAGGAACTCTCATGTGGTTGTGCAGAATTATAGAGAAGGACATGGTGGATGTTGATGGCTTTCCAGATACACTGATGGACATTGAGATAAAGCTTGTTTGGAGTCATGGCATTTATGTTTTACTTTGGGTTAGTAATGAATGGTAAATATAACTTTAGAACTTGTACATTCCAATCACTTTGTAACTTTTTAGTTTTGGTCATGTAATCAGCATCATTCTAATTGT